ACCTGGGAAAACTGAGGCCTGCAGAGGTTAAAAACTAGTCCAAGAATGGAGCTGGGGATTGATGGGGGTGGGGTCGAGACCAGGTCTGTCCCACTCCAGAGCCTGAGTCCCCACAGCCAGCGCATGTTCCTTTACAGAACTTTCCAGAATCCGTGGTCTGGTCTTTACCCTCTCAACCCTGAGCCTCTTGAAAACAGGGAGCTGTTCTTGGTCATCCTGGATCCCCAGAACCCAGCGTGTTCCATGAACGAGTGAAATCCCAGAAGTCTAACCTGCTTCTCTCATCTAGACAGGAAGGCTAACGGGGCCTCCCTCCCCTTGAAGATGTTCACAGAACACGGTTTTTCATGTGCCGCTGTGGGTGTCTTCGGCAAGGAAACCATAAGAATTAAGAACCCTTAAAAAGTGCTTTCCATGTGTCAGACACTGGTCTGTGCACACAGGAATCCACTCAGTCCCCAGTGAGGTGCCACTCTTATCATCTCCTCCATGTCTTAATGAGCCAAGTGAGGCAAAGAGATGCTGAGTCACTTGACCAAGGAAGGGCACATGGTCAGTAACCAGCAGAGCAAAGGTCAGCCTGCCAGTGGGGCTCCATCCACCCTGCTCATAACCTTTGTGTTGTACTTTCAAGACTGGACGGTCTCAAATACCACTTCTGTCTCTACAGCAGCCAAGAGCCCTACCACCAACATAGAAGATATCAAGTCTACAAAAGCCAATGATCCACCTTCACCTTGACCTGGGAAGTATTTTGAGGGGCAAAATAAGAAAGCATCTAGATCGTAATGCCATAAATGTTGCATCCACTAAGTGCTTTAGATAATTTTGGGAATTCCCACTGTGTACAGACTGTGGTCTGTGGACCCATGGCTAAATCTTCCAATGACTTAACCTCACCTTTTATCTGTTGCCAAGGAGACAGCAGAGTTTAGAACAGAACTTGCAAACCCAAATGCCTACAGGGGCCAGGTAACTTGCTGGGCATTGGAAAAACAAAATGAAGACTCAAGTCCAAGCTAAAGGAGGTCGCACTGAGCCATATAGAGCTGGCCATGAACACCATATGCTTGTTCATGAGAAACCTGAAATCCAGACTTTCATGTAAAGGGTACTGGGTTTTTTAACTCCACGTAGGTCAAACAAAACACATTGGTGGCCCATGGTCTGGCAGGGTGTGGTCCCCGATCCCCCAGACACAAACATAGAATAGCTTTACCTTGGTGAGATTCGATGCAGTTTCTGCTGAGAGGGACTTATTGGGTAAGCTGAGGGACATATTTTGAAGGTAATTCAGTACAATCCCAGGGCTTTGGAAGTTTTTTCTCTCCTCTGTCAGGTTGGTTATGATGGGATGGTAAGCATCTGTGGGTGTCTAAAAGAAGTTGGAGACATTAGTTCCCGCTAAGAATGAAAGCCAAGATATTCTATGGAAGTTCAATTACTCTACTCTGGGTCAAATGCTTTTTACAGCGTAATAATAGTATAGCAACTACTACATACCAGGCACTTTTGTGAATATTTTGCAGGTATTAACTTCATGTTCACAACAACCGTATAAAATAAGTGGCCATTTAATAGATAAAACTAAGCGCAGAAAGGCTTATGCAAACATTAAGTGGCAGAACTAGGATTTGAACTCCAGCAGAAGGTTTAAAGTCCGTGCAGTCGCTATTAAAGTTCTCAAGGAAGAAAAGTTATTTGATTACAAATGCTAATTCCAGAGGGGAACGTTTCCTAAACCAATTAGTCCAACATCAGAAGAAAAGAGCATAAAGAGACGCTGAGCGCGAGACAGGCTCCTCCTCCCGTTCCTCCCGCCCCCGCTCACTGTGCCGACATCCCTGGGAAACGATCACTTGTTCCTGACGACCTCGTTTACTCTTTTTACGAACCTGAGGTTACTGGTGAAAGGACCTGAGGGTTTCATCTTCAGTCACTCTTGTCACCAAAACTCCTCCCGCCCCGCTCACTGTGCCGACATCCCTGGGAAACGATCACTTGTTCCTGACGACCTCGTTTACTCTTTTTACAAACCTGAGGTTACTGGTGAAAGGACCTGAGGGTTTCATCTTCAGTCACTCTTGTCACCAAAAATTAGAACCCAAATTTCTCCCTCTCCTTTTATTATCGCTTCCCAGATATTACACTGCCCATAAAAGAGCCCGCATCACCTAATGGAACTTCAACTCTCCTGGCATATGGGCCATGCAAAAAGACATCAACAAAAGGAGGCAACAGAAAAATGTATCTGCTCACCATGGTGTTTGCTGTGGGTGTCATGAGGAAGCTTGACGGTGTTGAAGTCCACAAAACATGCTTTCCTGGAAAAGATAAATAATGCTTGTTAAGAGCTAAATCATTTTCACGTTAAGGAAGGCCCATCCTTATTCAAAAATTTACCAGCTTTAGACACATTCAAGAGAGCCTGACAATGTTTTGAGTAGGAATGTTGCTGGAAAGGTAAATTTATTAAGCTAATAAATCAGCTTAATGGGTATATTATATGGATTTTCTCAGGTCAAATTATTTTTCCATTTATGTTCTAAATTGCTTTCGAACACCCTTCATGCAAGTTGTCATATAAAGAGATGATTTTATATAGAGTATTATCGATTTCAAATAAAATGAAGAACCAAAAGAAATAGACTTCATCTGCATCCAGACTAATCAGAGACAAAATGTTGTTGATCACTGGGCCAGGACAGACGGAGACCTGGAAACTCTTCCTCAGATATAGACGAAGTGAGGATGGACCCCCACAAAGTGGCGGGGAGACCGTACTCCTGTGCCCTCCCACCCCAGGATTCCAGTTACTGTTTCTACTCTGGATTCCATGTGGTTACTTATGAATCATTACAAATAATGAAGATGGTCAAGACCAAAGGTTAACCGCTGACTTGCTGTTCTCTGCCTGCTCACCATCTACTTCTAATCCTACTATTTCTAATCCGACTATTTCCTGATGAGAACACAGACTTAATGAGATATTCTACTTCATTTTTGGAAAATCTCTCAAAGTTGCTTTGAGTGACCTGAGGAAATAACATCATCACCCCTTGCTGGCTGCAGGAGTGACTGCCTCCTGGGTTTGGGTGAGGCGGGGTGGCTGGTGAATGCTGAAGGTGTGATGCTGCCTGCAGAACTGGACCCCAAACCACTGTGTTCTCCAAGTCAGAGTGACATTCACTCCTCAGGTGCCAAGGAGTTATAAAGAAGTCCCGTCATGTTCACAGTGAACTCATGTGAGTGCACAAACTAAAGTGAACATGAAAACCGAATTCATATTGAAATTCATATTGAAAATATGAAATAAAGTGATGATGAAAATCAGTCCTGCAATCCTGCCCACCCTTGTCAGTGATGACCATGGGTGACTGAAATGAGAGATGAGAATCTGCCATGTCTTCAGACTGTTTCATTATGTGAGCATTTCTAGTGCTCACAGAAATTTGCTTTCAAATTGCGTGGTGCAGAACACAAGTCTTCCACTTCCTCTGGTTCTCTGCAGAAGAGCTGCTGTCCATTCCAGTGCAGGGAGCGGGAACCTGGCCAGGGTGACAGATGGTCAACATTCCACCTTTGTATGAATCAGAAAAGGCCACCCCATCTGGACAGATCGATCAGAAAATAGCACCTGCTCTGGCTAATGGGATTAGAAGAGGGCATCTGCTCTGGACATGTCACTCAGAGAATCATCCCCTCTGGGCACCTGCAGTGCCAGCACAGCTTCAAGTGCAGACAGATCTTTACAAAAATGATAGGTTCTACCTTCTCCTGTGGCCACAGCCCCACCAGTCCCCCGGCTGGCTGAAAGCGGGAGAGATTTCAACTCCAGTCATTGGTCTGCGCATAGCTGCCCTAATCCGACTGTGTTGGACTAACTCAGCAGTGGTTAAGCAGAGGTCCCACACAGGGCCTCTTGGGACTTCAAGGATCATTCTCCCTATACATGCTGTACATTACACCCTGTCTTTAGAACCAAATCGCTGGTGGCATTGGATTCCGATGGATGCAGTTCTGGCTCAAGAATAGTACAGGGTGTGCACTCCCCAGGAGACGTAGTGTTAATAGAACAACCCTCCTGAATCCCCCAAAGAATCGGATGTCACCTTCACCAAGTGCAGAGGGCCAGAGATGTCCTGATGATGACTAGGGTTTGTTGTGATAACTACAAGAACGAGAAACAATGACACTTCTTCCTGATGTTACTAAAACAGTAAACCACCAGGAAGGAGGATTTGTCTGAGGCTTTCCATAACACACATACAAGTGATATATTGGTTACAAAGTGACAACTGTATGGATCCTAGGCAATAAAATGCAATAGATTGATATCTTTTTTTTCTTCCAAAGGACACTCTATTTTGTCCTTATGTCACTTCTGTGAAAGGGAATAAATTCCATTATTTGGGGTAGAGGTTGGAAGATATAACTTCAAAGGCTGCAATGGACACTTTTGCCTGCAAGGCATCTGCTCCTTTTAGCAACCTGATCGTCCTTTAGGGAATCCCCTCTTCTCCGTGTGTTTTGGATGAGACTGACCTCACTACCATTTCAAGCATGGGCTATGACCCAGGCCTCAGCCAGTCAGCATAGTCTACACCCGCAACCACGGTAATTGACTCATGAAAGACATCATCTGAGCACCTGGATCAAACTGGTTCCAAAGCTAATTCTCCCCCAGAGTTTCCATTGTGTGAAATGGGAAAAAAAAAATCTTTCTTGGTTGCAGTATTTTGAGTTGGGTTTTCTCTCATTCAATCAATAGAACCTTACAACTGAGGGACTCAAGGTCAGAGCCTGAGCAAGAGCAGGCTGGGGTCTGCAACCCATGCTTTCACCTCCTGGTCCTGGTCCTGCTGAGCCAAAAGTCAGTGCTGTGGCCAACCAGATGTTTGCAAGGTGCCTACATGGTGACTGCCACTTTTTGGCAGGTTATTTCACATGAAAGTAAAAAATAGTACACTCACTTGAAGGCAAAATGAAAGTAGAATTGTAGGGGGAAAATGAATATTAATTTTTACAACAGCTAATGTCTACTGAAAACTTGCCCCATGGCATTGTGCTAATGGCCTCACACACCTTGTCCCATGTCATCTTCACAGCACCCCCCAGGAGAGCAGGTGGTATTGTTTTCCTCCATTTGACAGAGGAAAAAAAACTGTGATTTGAGAGATTAAGACACAAAACGTCACACATTTTATGATTCTATTTATATAGACTATCAGGACATGCAAATCCATAGAGAGAGTAGATTAATGGTTGCTGGGGCTAGCAGGAGCAGAGAATGGGGAATGACTCTTAATGGGTACAGAGTCTCCCTTTGGGGAAATGAAAATGTTTTGAAACTAGATAGAGATGCTGGTTGTGCAACATTTTGAATTAACTAAATGCCACTGAATTGCACACTTTAAAAGTGGTTAACTGGATATCATATGAATTTTACCTCAAGTTTTAAAGAGTGATATCCCAAAGTCCCATGGCTCATCATGGTAGACTGAAGATCTGAATCCTGGTCCACCTGCCCACAGGTCCCTGCCCTGAACAACTGCTCTGTGCTGAGCAGAAACAGGGCATCCTTGGGCTCTCTAAGGGCACATTAGAGAGTCTTGTATGTGGGAGGCTCACAGTAAACATTTGCTGATCAAATGCACTGATGGACCTGGAATATTTGCTATCCAAAGCCGCCTATAATAACCATCACATACACCTTATAACTCTGTGATAATAAGTGCCAGAATATTAATCTCAGTGGGTTTCTGGTAAATTATTAACTCCTCTATCTTAGGGAACAGGTGTTCTAAAAACAACTATATTTGGTAAGGTTCATTGGGACACATCTCATGCCTGCAGCGCTGACTGCTATTATCAGGAGACTGGGGAGAAGAGAAATGCTGGTGGCAGCGGCGGGGGGGTGGGGGGCGGTGGCAGGGCAGACACCAGACCTGGCCATTGCCTTGCACACTCACTGACCAGTGGCAGCTGTGAAGTACATCGCAATCTCATCCGGAGTCAGGGCCCGCTCCCAGATGATGAACTCATCAAAAGCTCTGTTCTCATAACGCTTGGTCTGGTCCTGCTCAGATCCTATCACCAGGTTGACATTGGGCTCCCCGTAGGCATGAGACACTTTTCCACTTGGATCAGAGGTGCTCAGGGTCCCATTGATGTAAACTTTCAGACCCTCCTTAGATTTCCATGTGAACAGGACATGAGTCCAGTAGGGACCTGGAAAAGAGCAAAGGTCACCATTCTGAGTCTGCAGGAATGAGCTCCTCATGAATGTGTTTTTCTGTGTTTGAGCACATCTGGGCTGGCCGGTTACCTCAGTTGGTTAGAGAGTGGCTTTCTAACACCAAGGTCAAGGGTTTGGATCCTCATACTGGCCAGCCACCCCCACCCCCCCACTCAAAAAAAAAAAAAAAAGGCAATGTCAGGGAAGATCAAAGTAAGCACCAGCACAGCCACTTCCTTAAGAGGGTCAGTCACTGTGAGCCTTGTCCTAATACAGGTCATCACACAGATCTGACTTTCCTCAATCCTTTGGAGCACAGGAAAAATTTTTGTCCCAGTCCCCAAAATTCCAAAAGCAGTTCAAGGAGGCCCTTTGCTACTTTAACACAGGAGTCACAAATTTAAATGCCTACAGGCAAAGGGGACAAAACCCTTGAAAAAAAGGCAAGGCACAAGCACCGACCAATCTGACCATAAGCCTAGCTGAAATGGCCAGAAATGAGGCAAGGACATTCCCTCTCACAAATCCTTTTCGACACTGTAATGGAAGTCCTAACTAATGCAATAAGGCAATAAAAGTAAATAAACAGTATACCGAATGAGGAGGATGCAATAAAATCATCTTTGTTCACAGATGGTATTATCGTCTATGTAGAAAACACAAAACAACTGACAAAACAACAACAACAACAAAAACCTCCTGAAACTGATAAGCAAGTATTGCAGGATCGCAGGATACAAAGTAAATATACAAAAGTCAGGGGAAATAAGTTCTGGTGTTCTACTGCACAGCAGGGTGACTATGGTTAGCAGTAAGGTATGGTATATTAAAAAAATAGCCAGAAGACAGGCTTTTGAATGTTCTCATCACAAAGAAATGATAAGTGCACGAGGTGATGGATACACTAACTACACTGATTTGGTCATTATACAACACATACATGTATTGAAACATTAAACTGTATCCCATAAATATATACAATTACAATGTGTCAATTAAAAAAAAAAGTTGCCAATCACTTTCCTATATACCAGCAATGAACAGGTGGAATTTGAAATCAAAACACACATTACTAATTAATTAATTTTTAAAAATTTACATTAGCACCAAAGAAAGAAAAAGAGATACTTAGGTATAAGATCAATATGTGGAAAACTACAAAACTCTAATGAAAGAAATTAAACAAGAACTAAATAAATGGAGAGATATTCCATGTACGTGGATAGGAAGACTCAATATTGCCAAGATGTCAGTTCTTCCCAAATTTGTCTATATATTCAAAATAGTCCCAATCAAAATCCCAGCAAGTTATTTTGTGGATATTGACAAACTGATTCTAAAGGCTCTAAAGATACTAAAGGAAAGACAAAAGATCCAGCACAACCAACACGAAGAAAAAACAAACTTGGGGGACTGACACCACCTAACTTCAAGTTTCACTATAAAGCTATGGTAATCAAGACAATGTGGTATTGGGGAAAAAAAATTATATATATATATATTCCACTGATAGATAGATATATCTATCTATCAGTGGAATACAATAGACAGCCCAGAGGTAAATATATATATATATATATTCCACTGATAGATATATATATATACCTATCAGTGGAATACAATAGACAGCCCAGAGGTAAACCAGCACAAATACTGTCAACTGATCTTTGACAAAGGCACAAAGGTAACACAACGGAACAAAGACAATCTTTTCAACCAACAGTGCTAGAAGAACTAGATAGCCACATGCAAAAAAAAGAAAAAAATATTAATCTAGACATGGACCCTTACACCATCACAAAAATTAATTCAAAATGGATAATAGATCTAAATGTAAAACACAAAGCTATAAAATTCCTAGAAGTAACAGAATGAAATCTAAATGACCCTGGGTTTGGTTATTACTTTTTAGATATAACACCAAAGTCACAATCTATGAAAGAATTGATGATCTGGACTTTTTTAAAATTAAAATTTTCTGCTCTGTGAAAGACTGTCAAGAGAAGGAAAAGACAGAGAGAAAATATTTGCAAAAGACATTTGATAAAGGACTGTTATACAAAATATACAAAGAACTCTTAAAACTCAACAATAAGAAAACAACTCAATTAAAAAATGAGTGAAAGCTCTGAATAGACACCTCACTAAAGAAGATATACAGATGGCAAATAAGCATATGAAAACATGTTCAACATCATATTTCATTAGGGAATAGCAAATTAAAACAATAAGATACTGCTACACACTATTAGAGTGACCAAAATCCAGGACACTGATAACACCAAATGCGACAAGGACACGGAGCAGCAGGAATGCTCATTTACTGCTGGTGGGGATACAAAATGGTGCAGCCACTTTGGAAGACAGTTTGGCAGTTTCTTACAAAACTAAATATACTCTTACCATGTGATCCAGCAATCATGCTCCTTGGTATTTACCCAAATGAGTTGAAAACTTCTATTTGCACAAAAACCTCCACATGGATGTTTTTAACAGCTTTGTTCATAATGGCCAAAACTCGAAAGCAATACAGGTCATCTTTAATAGGAGAATGTGGTACATCCAGACAATGGATTATTATTCAGCACTAAAAAAAAATGAGCCATCAAGCCATGGAAAGACATGGAGACATCTTAAATCATATATTTTATTCAGCACTAAAAAAAAATGAGCCATCAAGCCATGGAAAGACATGGAGACATCTTAAATCATATATTCTAAGTTAAAGAAGCCAGTCCGAGAAGGCTACAGACTGTGTGATTCCAACTATATGATATATATATATATATATGAAATATATTAGATATAGATATTAGAAAATGAAAGAAGACAATCTGTAAAGGCTACATGGTGTATGATTCCAACTACATGACATTCTGGAAAAGGCACAACTATAGAGACAGTACCTAGATCAGTGGTTTGGCATGGGTCAAGGGGAGGGAGGGATGACCAGGTGGAGCACAGAGGATTTTTAGGGCAGTGAAACTATTCTGTGCGATACTATAATGGTGGACACGTCATTATACGTTTGTCCAAACCCGTAAGATGTGCAATAGCAAGAGTGAACCCCAGGGTAAACTATGGACTTTAGGTAATAGTGATTAGGTGGAGCACAGAGGATTTTTAGGGCAGTGAAACTATTCTGTGCGATACTATACTGGTGGACACGTCATTATACGTTTGTCCAAACCTGTAAGATGTGCAATAGCAAGAGTGAACCCCAGGGTAAACTATGGACTTTAGGTAATAGTGATGTGTTGATATGGTTTCATTAATTGTAACGAATGTGCCACTCCAGTGGGGGATGTTGGTAGTGGGAGAGGTTGTACATGTGGGGGCAGGAGGTATACGGGAAATCTCTATACTTTGCACACAATCTTGCTGTGAACCTAAAACTTCTCTGAAAAATAAAGTCTGTAACAAACCCCATCAGCGATACATGCCTGCACACATGGTCTGCGGGGACTGGGGAGAAGGCAAGCACAGCACCCTGCTCTCCCTGCAGACTTTGTTCTGTGCTAACTATGGTGCACTCGGGGTGGCTGCCCCATCAGAGGAGGAAGCCCCCGCTCACCCCCACCTATCATTAACACAAGAGATAAAGGCCTCATGTTGCCAGTTTCTTTTTTAATTTCCAAGAGAATTTGAGAAATCTGAATTTTAAAATGAAATCATAACTAATGGTTATAATTCATTTAAAACATTTTTTGAAAAGTACTGCCTAGGCAACCACAGTGCGTGACCATAAAACCTATCTGAGGTCTGATTCAGCCCACGGGCTGGGGTGTCCACCTCTTCTCTCTGCTCTAACATAGACTGAGTCCTATTAACCAACACCGTGGTGACTTGGTGGGCCAAACCAACCTCCTGGCTCATGCAGGAACCTCTGCCAGGAGCTTTTGTGTTACTCTCCTCTCTGGCACGAGAACCATGCTTCTCAACAGGAAGCATGTTCATAAGACTTTGACGGGGCCCCTTCTGTTTTGCAAGCATTTGTGTTAAGACATCCTCACAGGCTTCCTGCTGGAAGGAACGGGGCAACTTTTTAAAGGACACACGTCACCTCCAGATACCTGGTCATCTCACATCACCCCATCAGAGCTTCTTGCTCAAGATTGTGCAAATTTCTGATAATTTTGAGTTGCTGGAGAACACCTGGATCCTAAATAGGTCCAAAGTATTTTACTGCCCTTGAGTTTGAAAGCAAGAATAGCAAGTCCCATCAACATAAAGAACATATCTCCAGGCAAAAATGTTTACAATTCTCCCCATTTCCCTGGGTGGAAAAACAGTCAGAGCTCAGCAGACTATATCTTAGATCATGTTCAAGTTCAAAGAACCTACAAGATGCCTGATACTGCCAATGTCTGTCCCACTAGCCCCAAAAAGCAGGGAGATAAGACTTTCACACCAAACTCTGAAACTCTAATGGCAAGTGGAACATGATAAGAGATGTGGACAAGGTCCAGAGAGTTCTGCCTGGAGATAGGAGGGGCCGAGATGATTTCTGGCCTTGGAAATCAAGAGGGCAAACTCAAAGTATATGTTCTTTGAATTTTCCCACTTTTGCAGGGTGGAGGTACAAGCCTGGCCTGAGCATGTACAAGGAGAGCACCGACAGAATAAAGCGAATGCACTCAGTGCCACAATTCCAGAGTCTTCCTGTGTGTTACCTCCCTGAATCCTCACAATCACCCCATGAAGTGACATCGGTAATATGAATGAGGAAACTGAGGCAAATGGAGGTGGAGTAAGGTGCCCGGGTTCACACAGCTACCGAGGTGCAGAGCTGAGACTTGAGCCAGATTCTTTGGCTCTAGAGTCTATGCTTTTTAAGAGCTGAGCTCTGCAGCCTCCCTTAAATGGGCCAGAAAATAAATTTTCTTTAAATATTTTGAAGATGGCATTTCCTACTGGAGGAGACCATTGCAGGTCTTGATCCTGCACTCTCCACCTCTGCCCTTCCATTACTAGTCTCCAGCCCCAGTGGGGCCGTACCTCCAGAGACCCTGGAATCTTCTGTGTCACTGGTCACCTCTGACTCATCTCCTGTGTCCACTGCAGACCTTTCACAGCGTCCTGCTCCACACCTCTGACCTCATGCCCAGCGATGAACACCATGCCACAGAGAGGATAGCAATCATTAGACAGAACTGCATTAACGTCGCAACACGCACCTGCAAATGCAGCCACATGCACAGACCCAGGTCGCTCCCCACTTGTCCAGAGCATCCCCCCTTCATCCAAGACCACTCACGCCCCAGCGCCTTGTACTCCAGCCCATCCTTCTTTTCCCTGGATCTTCAGCCTCTCTCCCAAAAGCCTTTTCTCATCATATGTTAAACAATTTCAACTCTATGCCACTAGAAGGAGGAGGAGGAAGAGGAGCAGGAAGAAGAAAAGAGAGCAGAAGGGAAAAAAGGAGAAATTTAACCAGAGCCCGAACTTTGCATGCAAGATTCCATTTAACTTCCCCCATACCGTGAGGTACCATTAATATCATGTCCACTTCACAGACGTGAAAACTGAGACTTGGTGTAGGCATACAGTTAGACACGGTCATTGGAACCCAGACTCTAATCCCACATTAAGTCCCCCCCCTTCCCGGTACACCCTCCCAAGCGACCCTTTGGAGAGAGGAGCTTGTGGGCGGGGCTCCTGCTGCTGTGCTGGGCTCCTCAGCCTCCCACCATCAGCGAGGATTCACCTCGTCCAGCTCCTCCAAGCAGGACTTCCCAAGGCTGGTGACATCCCTCACCTGGTGGGTTGAAGGTGGCCTCCCACGTCATTGAATTATCACGTGTGTACAGTTCCACAGAGCCTTTGCCGCCACTGGAGCAAACTTTGAACCCGTCGGAAATGACCTGTCCCCCATAAGCAGAAGGGATTGGTCTGGACTGTTCTCCTTGTGTCTTCCAGAAAAAAGAAAATGTCACCCCTGAGGAGAGGAAAGGCATTGGGTCAGTTACTGATAGAAAGCAGAGGGGACTTCACTTCTCAGAAGAAGCCAGTCTTCTCTGGTTTTTATTTTTCATTTAAAAAGCATTTTTTCTCATTCTAAGGGCAATGTATGTTCTATTCAAAAAAACACAGACAATAATATTAGCTAATATTGATTAAGGGATCACTAAGAACCAGGCACTTTTCTCAGAGTATTAAATGAATTACCTTCTTTTAAATAATATCAAAACTCTGTTATCGTCCCCATTACACAGATGAAGAAACGGAGGCTAGTTTGCCAAAGGCCACTAAACCAGTGACTGATTGAGACTGGATGTACAGCCAGGCTGTCCGACTACGAGCGTGCAAATGTCAATGCCCACAGCATTCTGTTCTCACTCCTCGTATCTGTCCAGACACGTCATTGTAGTACCGCCTTCTGAAGTCTCTTTTGGAAATATATCTTACAAAGAAAGGAACCACCTCAGGCATACTGGTTTATAAACAACATCTATTTTAAATCTTCCTACATCATGAATTTCCTCCAATGTCCATAAATACCCTTTCACGTTGTCATTTGTACAGCTGCACATCATTATATTCTAAACAGGTACCACAATTTTTTAGACCCTCCTATTGCTGGGTTGTAAGGATTTCTTTAACTTTTTGAAGAAATTTTCAAACAGAAATTAAAGCTAAGTTTTCTTGCACATCTCAGACTATATGCTTTAGAGTAAATTCCCACCAGGGACTTTCTTGTCAAAGAGGAAGAACGCTTTCAAGGATTGTGATGTCTGTGACTGTTCATTTCCAATGGAGGGACACCGTGAGGCACACAGAGACACTGGCCCTTTTTACAAGACACCCAGTCTACAGATTCTTAATAAGTCCTGACCCGGGCTCCATGCGGGGGTGAAGGCGGTGTTCCATGTGGGTTGATGGTCCTTGCTACAAATGTTAGTGTGCACAGGCGGGTCTATTAGCTGGTAAGTCACTCCCTCTGTCACTGGAAGCAGAGGGAGCATGAAGAGCCAGCCCAGCTCCTGATGGTGACACCCCTATCCCAGACACGCAGGCCACGGGGCCCACCCTCGCTGAAGGGGCAGTAATGGCTGGAGGCTCACTGCATTTTAGGGGTCCCCCATCCCCTTACCCCCCCATCATTACACTTTGGAGCTCTGACTGCTTCTGTTCTACTTCTCTGCCTCTAGTACACGCAGGCCACGGGGCCCACCCTCGCTGAAGGGGCAGTAATGGCTGGAGGCTCACTGCATTTTAGGGGTCCCCCATCCCCCTACCCCCCCATCATTACACTTTGGAGCTCTGACTGCTTCTGTTCTACTTCTCTGCCTCTAGNTACCCCCCCATCATTACACTTTGGAGCTCTGACTGCTTCTGTTCTACTTCTCTGCCTCTAGTAACATTTGCCCACCTGGCCTTTCTTTCTGTGTAAGTAAACTACATGTGCATGTGTTCTAAGCTAGCCACCTGCGTGGACTCTGTGTCTAAAAAAAGCTGAAAATAAATGCAGTTGCCTCCCTCCTCCCAACCTGACTGGGGCGCTGTGGTGAGAGAGCCTCAGTGATGCTGACAGGGGACCCATGCCCAGAGGTGATTGAAACAGGCCCACGAGAGTGTGGGCAGGGGTGGGAGACAGGGAGAGGGTAGAGGCACATTTGCCCTGGGCCTTATTTATATAAACGGCATCAAATTTAGACTTTAGACCTTATCTTCAAATGAGGTTACAGATGGCTTCTACCACTTCTGTCTCGTGCTCTGGCAGTGCTGAGGCCAGAAAAGCCCAAGCCCTCCCACTGTGTTTCTGCATGCTCAGAAACAACCAGTTTCATAGAGAAACGAACACAGCACATTGTGAAATGTTTGTTATGAAACGAATTCCCAGTAGGATTCTTGGAAGTCCGTTTTTTCCAAAAACTTTGTTGCATTTAAAAATTCCTTTCACTCAATATAAAATGATCCTGTCTCAGCCAAATGTATTTCTATCCAGGAAGAAAAATAAAAATAAAAAATTCCACGTGACATTAGGTAAGGGCAGCTGGAAGGTGAGCCATGGGCTTGTGAGCCATGCTTTTCGTTCCAGTTAATTCAACCTGCAAAGCAACTGCTTCTAGCTGAGGAACAGCCTGTGTTTAAATGTCAGTTTGTGTCTTCACAGAGTGTCAGAAGGTTCTCAATGTGCCTTCAATATTAGCATTTTGAGGAGCTCTGCTTCATGGACCTGGATTGTCAATACAAAGAAGGAAAAATCTGAAGGAAAAAGAAATAAGCACAACACTGACAAATTGATTCAATACTTTTTTCTTGCTATGAGCATCAAATCCTAATACATTCTAAAAATAAAATGAGGAAAGGTCTTTCTCAAAACACAAAAAAGGGAAAACAAAAATCCGGAAGTCACAGAAAAGACTGAAGTTGAGCACACACCTGTTAAGTTTACCACAACAAATTCAAAAGACAAAAAACAATCTAGGGAAAAATATTTCTAATACATGTAACAGACAAGAAGTTAATTCCCATAATATGGAAAGAGCTCTTTATAAAGAAAAGTATGACTTACAGCATTAATGAGACTGTGCAGAGACTTTTACTTACTTATTATTGTCCCCATTTCACGTATGAGAAAACTGTAACACAGAGAGGTTATGTAACTTGCCCAAGGTCACACAGCTAGTCAGTGACAAGTCAGAACCCAGGCAGTCTGGATCCGGAGTCTGCTTTCGTAACCACTGTGATATACAACCCTTCCCATGGAGACAGTGTGCAGGAGCAGCTCTTCCCAGGCCCACAGACTCTGCACCATGCAAGAGCATGACCCAAAGGCCAAGGAAGTAGAAAGTCAGGGAAGGTGAGATGCTTGAGGTGTGTCCACCTGTCCAGCACCCATGCTCCTCATCCGGTCACAGCAGCTCAATGTGCCTTGGAGATCTACCCCTCCCACTCTCATTTTCTCATTTTAGGTGGGCTGACCACACCCTGGGCTAGCTCAGGACGGGCCCATCAGAATCACGGGCCTGGTCCAGGGAGGGCTCAGCTGACAAAATGGAAACGTGGTGCTTCTGGGCAGACAGTGAGGTAAAGGCAAGAAAGGCTCCTTGAGAATGGAGCCAGAATGATGCATTGATACACCGTCCTGGTGACACTACTTGGCACCGGGATCCAGCTTGTGGCAGACTGTGTTTTCCAAAGAGCCATAGTCATTTCCATCCTGTAAGCTTTTGTGCGGTGTGGCCTTGCTACTCCCAGCAAGACCCAGCACCCGTTTCCTCACTGCCTCAACTCGCTCATCGCAGGGCCCCTGGCAGGCCAGTGACCCACAGGAGACAACAGGAGGGGTGCCGGGCCACACCCCACACAATCCTCACAGTCTAGCAGCTTCTGTGTTCTGCCTCTTGGAGGTTTCAGCCCAACATGAAGTCCAAATGTTTTTTTGATGGCTTACGTGCATCAGACACTGTGAGTTAGGGACTGTGGACAGAAAGGCAGACATGCACTCAAGGTCCCTGAGTTTTTGGAACTGACTTCTGGGAAGGCAAGGAGAGAGACAGACATTAAACAAACAGTCACAGAAAT